TGTTGTCCCTGCCCCGGGAGTGTTTGATAAGGAAAGTGTAAGGTGAGCTTTACTCTATATCTAACCCTGTGTTGTCCCTGTCCTGGGAGTGTTTGATGGGGGACAGTGTAGAGAAAGCTTTACTCTATATCTAACCTCATGATGCCCCTGCCCTGGGAGTGTTTGATGGGGACAGTGTAGAGAAAGCTTTACTCTATATCTAACCTCATGATGCCCCTGCCCTGGGAGTGTTTGATGGGGGACAGTGTAGAGGGAGCTTTACTTTCTGATGAAAAGAGTCCAAGCTAGCTTGACTCTGTTGCTGTTGAAACCTGAAGCTTGGAGCTTCATCTGTTGCTGATGGAGCTGATTGGACACTCAGCTGTTACAGACCGAGTACTGGAGTTTTGATCATCTCCTGTTGCTATTGTCTGGGGTACTCCTCATGAAGAGACTGTTTTGGGGACCTGGGGATTGGGTGGCAGTGACTACGTAAAGCTTGGGGAGTGAGATGGAGTGTTCCCTGAAGAACTGAACTGGTGTGCATGTGCTGGAAAGGACTTCCTGCTGTTTGGAAAAGGGGGTGGTCCCTTCGGGAATGCTGACATAATTAATGGCCGTGTCCAAAGGCCCAGTTGGGAGGATGGATGCTATTGTTGATGATGACCTCTCTCCCAATTGAATCCATACAGTTTGGGTTTGTAGCAGAGACACAGACAGACCATGTGATTGCATCAACCCACAGGCTGGCCTGAGTGACAGGTTATGGGTTCAATTCCCATTCGAGAGACCTGAGCACATCATCCAGGCTGACACTGCAGTGCAGTGCTAAGGGTGAAAAATACCTTCGACTACAATTCTATCAGCACGTAGAATCCTCGGGAGCCTGCGGGAAAAGGAGAAAGTGGATCCTGTCGGGTTGTTCCCTGAGCAGACTGTCAAAGTCTCATCACCAGAATTTTCCAATAAGCACCAAGACATCGCTCGGCTGGTAGTGAGAAGGGCACTACCTGTCACATCCCTCATGTACACCTGGACTCTGTGCCACTGCACGCTGCCCTCGAAGAGGCTGCTGGGAGTGGGGGTAGAGGCTGTCACACACCTCCTGCTGGAATGTGCCTTTGCAAAGGAATCCTGGAGAGAGATGTAATGGTTTTTGTTGAGCTTCATCCCGATCAGCTCGGTGACACAGGACACTGAGCTCTATGGTCTCTTCCCTGGGATGCAGACTGAGACAAGCATCAGCTGTGCCTGAAAGACACGCTATGGTCCACTTGTTGGTCTTCCAGAACAAAGAGCTGATGCCGACCGAGTGTTGCAGGCTGGGCACATTTAAGGTCCAGGACTATGTTGCTGAGGGACGCACTAAAGCTTGGGGCAGCTGCCGGGAAGGTGCAGTGGGGAAAGACCACTGTCTGAGGTCTTCCTGCTAAAGGTAAATGGGGGTCCATTCAGTTAGTGCACCCTCCCTGCACCTCAAATCTATGTAAATATAGTCTTGTATAAGTAAGAAATGCTTTGGGTTTGTTTGTTCCACATACATATAGACTGTATAGAATCAAACTACTCTAGTGACCGTGTATGTATATAAAGATATTTTTATGAATATAGTTTGGTGATAAAAAAAAAGTACTGTCTGAGATGTTGCCTGAGTTGCTGAACTCTGCCTCTGTCTACCACCTCAGCTGGCCACAACATAGCCACAGTTTTGAATATGTACTGGGGAGGCCTATTAATATCCCAGCCAGATTTACACTTAATCAATATCAATTAAACTGGTTACCTGGTTATCACAGGGCTTGGTATGGGGACAGTGTTTCCTATACACTAAAAGCACTTCCTCAATGGGTTCCCTCAGAGAGGATAATATTGCACTCAGAGAGGGGATGTCTGACCAGAACAGGACAGTGGTTATGGTGCCTGTGTTAGAGATTTTAAGAGTGAAGTTGAGTTCTGCTCTGAAGTAAGAAGGGTTGGTTTTCATGATGTCCATCTGTTTCACATGGTAAGCTTACACTTAGTGTTTTGGTGGTGTTATGCAGTATTCTGCCTGAGCCTTGCAGTCTCTGTCAGATCATTGAAGTTTCATTCTGAAGGGAATTTTTCAAATCATATAAATAAAACCTGCCCCAAAGTCAAGTTTGAAATGAGGCAGACAACCATTGACATGTCCACCCACTGTCACATATTGGTCCACTATCACCCACAGGTAATGGTGGTTCACATCTTCCAAAGGTGGCATGTCATATTTTAATGAGATGTGTTTTAATGAGGGTATGGTTTGCCATTCCAGGTTTCTTCCAAAGATGCTTGCTGTAAGTCTTCAACCTCATTGTGCACATTTGGATTGTTAATTCTGCGGTTCAACAGTTGTCTTTGACTTTTGCATGTTCTCTGGAAATGTCCCATTTACAAAATTTGCATTGGTGTCATAAAGCTGAACATTCTTTCTGTTTATGTGTTTTTTTTAATCACTACATCTGGAACAGTAACTTGAAGTATCAAAGGATTTAATATATTGTGTTGGACTATAGCGTCATGTTTTGGTGTTTTTCTCTATCATAGAAAGTTGACTAAGTCTAATGAGTTCATTGATCTAAGCTGGCTTTCCATTTTTGCCATCCTCATGTGCTGCCCTCAGAATTCAGCCTCTACCACT